GGAGCACCTCCATCAAGGCAGGCTCTGGCACTGACTTGTAGATGGCAGGCAGTATATTCAGAAATGCCTGGGCTGCAGACTGACCCTCAGGTTCCTCACATGTGGTCTGAGGTGAAAACTACATACAGCTAAATCACAGTGTACAATGTCACGGACACTCCTACCAGCTCTGCCGCACCAAAAGCACCAAGGCGGCAGGGCTTTCCCCAGCTACATTATTTCTTGTCTTTCATAGTGCAGTGAGTTTATCACTGTCCCCTCTCTTGTGTCGCAGCTTTGTTGAATATGATTTACACAGCAGAAAGTCCATCTTTTGAAAGCATCTGATTTAGTAAATTTTAGCAGTCTCTAGCTTGAACACCATCATCACTATGTACTTTCTGAACAGTTTCATCACCCACACACACTACCCCAACTAGTCAGCAGTCAGTCACTCCCCATCACTCCCTCCCCAGCCATATGCAGCTTTGCACCTAGCTTCTCCTCAATTACCTACCATGTTCTAGTCATCTACTCATTCTTAGCTGACAGGCATGTGGGTTGATCCCACACTGATCATTGCTGATCAGGTGTTAAGAACATATGTGTGCATGTGTTTGTACAGTCATGTATTTTCCAGTCTCTTTGCCTACACACCTAATGATGTGGCTGCTGGGACACATGGTAACCCTGCTTCACCATTTGAGACTGTCGTTCAGAGTGGATCGACAACCTGACACCACCACATACAGTGGATAAGTGTTCCTTGTTTCCCTGGGGTTAGTAATACTTGATTCTCATTCATATTCTCTGTCTCTGTCTCTGTCGCTCTTTTTCTCCCCCCCCCCTTCATCTTTCTCTCTCTACACCCACCCCAGAGTGTACAATGCATGCTGAACATCTTTACACATCCTAGCTGGCCCAGAGGAGAATGTCTAAGTCTTAGCCTTTTTGCTCTGTTTGCCTGGTTGGTTATTTTGCAATACTGTGTATAAATCCAGGGCCTTGGATGTGTAAGGCGACAGCTCTGCTGCTGAGCTACATCTCCAGTGTTTGCTTTATTCAGACAATAAATATGTCTTGCTATGTGGCCCAGGCAGGGCATTGAAAATATCAATACTCATGGCCCACTTTTGGGTTATGTTGTCTGTCCACTCAAGTCATAGGAGGTCTTCACACCCTACAGATACATGAAGCTTCTTATGTCATCATATGTGTGTGTGTTCTCTTATTTTTAGTTGTCTTTGAAATTTTGTTTTCATATATTCTGGAACATACAACAATTCAATTTATAAACAGTCAATATTACTTTTTCTCTACTATCCTACTGGAGAATACACTCTTCCAGAATCACCATTGTATGTGAAGTCTGTCACTGACCCAAATGATAGGTGGTATACATCTTACCAACTAGATTATACACTCATCAAGAGCATGCTGTATACAGCCAATATCCTATATGTTCAGCTATAATCCACAGGAAGCAATGATAGTTCCTGGGTGTATATATATGTGTGTATGTATGTATATACATATATAAATACACATACATATACATCCTGTGACGAAGACAGGACAAAGCGCCCTTTGGTGCTGAGGGGACAGAATGGCAGTATCTTAAAGGAGGGTCACTGGGCCAGAAAGGGTGGCTGAACTGCTCAACAAACAAGTGCTCTTAGCTTTTTGAATGGCAAAATAAGGAACACAAATACATACAATTAAGAAGTGAAAAGTTACCGTCTAGAGTCAGATGTTTACCATGCTGAAGTGTGGTTGACGGACCACCATGAAGGTGAGCAAGGCTGAGTGGCAAGGGTCTCAACCCCCAAGCTATGTAACTCTAATAGGATGTGGGCTCTAGACCTGAGGAAGACACCTATGCCTGCTTCAGGACTGGGCACTGGGAGGGAAACAGAACTGATGGGTTCTAAGCACCCCTGACAACCCCAGCTGAAGTGCAACTTCTCTGGGTTTTTATGGTTCTTTCTGTGCTGGCTGGTCTTATGTCAACTTGACACACAAACTAGAGTTATCTGAAAGGAGGGGGCCTTAATTGAGAAAATACTGACATAAGATCAGGCGGTAGGGCATTTTCCTAATTATTGATCACATGGAAGGGCCTAGCCAATCGTGAGTGGTGCCACCCCTGAGTTGGTGGCCCTGGGTCTTTAAGAAAGCAGGCTGAGCAAGCTATGGGGAGCAAGTTAGTCAGAAGCACCCTCCATGGCCTTTGCTTCAGCTCCTGCCTCCAGGATCCTGCTCTCTTTGAGTTCCTGTTTTGACTTCCCTTTAATGATGAACAGTAATGTGGAACTCCCCAACTTGTTTTTGGTCATGGTGTTTCACTGTAGCAACAGAAACCCTGACTAAGACTCTCTCCCCACAGCTTCATGACAAGTCTGTTTCTTGCTCCTCAGATCTCTTGCTGATGACAAGTTTCCCCAGACATTTTTCTCTGGGTTCCACCCTCTTTCTTCCTTTGAAGTGTGGAATTCATCCAGCCCTGGAAGATGAACATACATTCTAATGCCTTTTAAATTCAATTTTTTTCATACTAACAACAACCTGTTTTTCTCGGCCACTTCACTATAGCATTCTGTTACAGACACAATCTACTTCCGAAGGTTAATAAACTCTCGGCACACCTGGGTTCCAAAGCCCAACTGAAACAGCTTCCAGCTAGGACAGAGCTCCTGCCTTGCTGCTTTCAACTCTTGGCCTTGAAAAAAAGTCAGTCTCACACAGGTGGTCACAGGCCTCACAACTGTGGCCTCCTCTTCCTTTCCAACCCCACATCACAATTATTCCATTGTTTCTATATACTTCCAGAATCTTCCAGCATTTTCTAGCAGAACTGTCAGCTGGGAAGGACTGTAAGTGTGCTTCAACCATGAATTTACAGCTCTGCTTCTATCCTTTCTATGTTAATTTTAATAGAAGTCTCTCAAAATCAGAAATAACCTAAGGTAGAAAATTTCTCCTTTGTTCTCTTCTAGGATTCTCCACAAATACTGTGCATTTACTAGAATGACAGCAACACCACTAGCAAGAAAAGGCCCACTTTTAAGCACAGCTTCTCCTCCATTAGAGTGTCCGGTCTTAAATAGTATCCACTAATGGCCTTTAGCATAAAGGGGGGGGGTGTTATTTTTGCTGTCATAATGGTGAGAACCATACTGTGTTCAATGGAATGAAACACTTTCTCAAAATGAATGAGCAGGGAGCAGAAGAGAAGGCTGAGATTCTTTGTTCCTCTCTATTAACCGACTGGTGACATGAACGTCATTCATTACCACACCCCGTCAGGAGCCTGGTCTGTACCCTTTCTTCCTCCAGTGAGTCTTATGTGCAGAGATTTAGAACAGCAGGAGAACTGGCCAACAATCTGGCAACTCAAAGAATGTCAAATTGGCTCACACGAAAGTAAGGGTGGAAAAAAAGATGAAATTATAGTGTTTGCTGTATGCCTTGCACGGCGAAAAAATGGCTCTGTTTTTCACATCAAAGAAAGATAAATCATTGATTCTTGCCTGGGCTTCAACAATTTTCCTAAGTAGGTGCCAATTTTTTTTCCTTCTACAAAAGAAAAGAAAAAACTCAAAAACCAACACCATAAAATATTAATAATGGAAAATTACTGTTTCTAAATATTTTAAGGTATAGATACCAAGGAAAAATTTAAAGGGGGTGTGGAATAGGACCCAAATAAGCTAACAGTGGACACCATCTCTGAGTAAACTGTAAATATGTTCTTTTCCAAGTCTTCTGAAGCTTTCTCCCTCTTTTCACAATGTATGTATGATGTTAAGAACAACCAACAAAGGAGGCAAAATGAAAAAAAAAAGATGCTTAATTAGTGAGAAATGGTGAAGTATAAGGATCGGCTAAGCCTTGAACAAAAACTTAAAATATAAACACACCCCCTGGATCTTAAGCACCCCAAATTCCCAGGCACCCAAACCTCTATCTCCAAACCTCTCCCTCTTATCCAGGCATAGAACTAACATTTTATCCTTTAAAAGTTTTGTCTTGCCAGGCGGTGGTGGCTCAAGCCTTTAATCCTAGCACTGGGGGGGGGGGGGGGGGGG